TGTCACCCCCAGCGCACCACCCCGGGACCCCTGCGCAGGGCGGGGAGGTTGCTTCTCACGCGGGGGGAGTGGAGGCGCGTTGCCCCCGCCCCGGGGGACCAGGTCCCTGACTGTCACTCCCACCGGCAGTAAGAGCTACGGCAACGTGCTGGTGTTGGACGGGGTCATCCAGTGCACGGAGCGGGACGAGTTCTCCTACCAGGAGATGATAGCCAACCTGCCGCTCTGCAGCCACCCCAACCCACGCAAGGTACCCCCAGATTCAGCCCTGCGCGCAGCGATGGAAAGCCGCCCCTCAGCATCCCACAGGCCCGTGTGGAGCCCACCTCCCCGCCATGTGCCTCGTTCAGCCCAGTGCTTCCTAAGGGGTGTCAGGGAAAGTGCTAGCAAGGACGGGGCCAGGGGGAGGGAGTGGGGGGTGTGAGTGGGAGAGGGGCCCACTTCGCAGGGCTGGGGGCTGACAGAGGAGCCAGGAGTTCTGTCTGAGGCCTGAAGCTCAGGAAGTTTTCAGGAAAGGGGCACACCTGGGGCAGGTTCCTGCGAGGAGGGAGTCAGGAGGTCTGTGGGTCGGAGGGTGCGGCTCACCCTCGCTCCGGGTGATTCTGGGTGAGTGCACCCGCCCACGGAGCCTGCCGGGGCCTGTTTGGTGGGGCTGGGGCTGGTCCCAGCGGGTGCTGACTGCTCCTCCCCCTCCCAGGTGCTGATCATCGGGGGTGGGGACGGGGGTGTCCTGCGGGAGGTGGTGAAGCATTCCTCCGTGGAGTCCGTGGTCCAGTGCGAGATTGACGAGGTGAGTGCCCCGAGCAGGGCCAGGGTCTGGGTGCGAGTCCCTGCTCCACACGGAGTGGGCTGTGTGGGCAGGTCACTTAGTCTCTCTTTAAGTGACTGAGTGACATAGTCGGGTGCCATCGATGCCAGTTCTCAGTAAGCTGGGGTGCTGGTGTTTAATTGAAGTCCCAGGCAAGGCCCAAGGACGTTCCAACCATTAGGGCGCCCAGCATGTCTTTAGTGACTCTCTGGTGTGTAGCAGCCATTGTTCTAGGTGCTGGGGTACCATGGCGAATAGGCAGATCCGTCCCTGTTGGAGCTGATATTCCAGTTAAAAGGAGACAGCGAAGGGCGATATGATATCGGCCTGAGGCCGGTCAGCGGTCAGGGCAGGCCTCTGAGAAGCATCGACGCGTGGAGACAGGGACCGGCTCTCTGATGGGAGCTGGCATTGCTCCCTCTGCAATAGCAGGAAAGCCCTCAGATGGGCCACGTGGATCCGGGGAGGGAGCGGGAAGGGTGGAGATTCAGCTGAGGAGCTGGCCAGAGCCCACCGCCCTGAGGAGCTGAGGGAGCCCCCAGAGTGCTCCCCGTTTTACAAATGTGGAAACGGGGGGTCCACGAAGCCAGTGGCTGGCCGGAGGCTGCAGGGCCATGAAGGGACTCCATCCAGCTCCAGCCTGGTCCCCCGCCCCCTCCCAGGATGTCATTCAGGTCTCTAAGAAGTTCCTGCCGAGCATGGCCATTGGCTACTCCAGCTCAAAGCTCACCCTCCACGTGGGCGACGGCTTTGAGTTCATGAAACAGAACCAGGACGCCTTCGACGTTATCATCACCGACTCCTCAGACCCCATGGGTGAGCAAGTGATGGGCCCGGGCCCCAGCAGCTGCCACTTCAGGAGCCAGCCTCCCCCTTGCTCCCCAGGCCTGAGTTGCGGAGTAGAGGACAGAGGGGCCCCCAGAACTAGCGCAGTCCTTTCCCTTCTCAGTTGTCACTGCCCCACCCCTCCAAACAACAGTTCAGCAGAGTAGGGGGACCAGGCCACTACCCAAAGTTCACAGTTGGTTGGGGACCAGGAGGGGAGTGGGGCACTGGCCTTGGCCCACTGAGGCCCCAGTTTCTTCAGCCTCCTCTCTGCTCCGGACACGCCAGCACTGGGGTGGGAGAGGGGGTGTTCTCCTTTTAAACGGAGGCCCAGGGTAGAGATGCCACCATGCAGTGCCAATGAGAATCCCCTGGGAATGGGGTTAAAGTGCCCTTTCCTGGTTGGTTTCTGAGTCCCACAGACCTGGGTTCAAGTCCCGGCTCTGCTCCTTGGCCTCTCTGTGGGTCTGTGTAGCCCAGGCTCAGGGGGTCTCAGCCAGAATGTGCTCATTGTCGCTTGACCCTCCCTCCTGCAGGCCCAGCCGAGAGCCTCTTCAAGGAGTCCTATTACCAGCTCATGAAGACGGCCCTCAAGGAGGACGGGATCCTCTGCTGCCAGGGTGAGCGCCAGAGATGCTGAGCTGCGGGGGGCGGGGCAGGGTGGGGCCGGCCGCCAAGCCAACCGCTGCCGCCTCCCCCAGGCGAGTGCCAGTGGCTGCACCTGGACCTCATCAAGGACATGCAGCACTTCTGCCGGTCGCTCTTCCCCGTGGTGCGCTACGCCTACTGCACCATCCCCACCTACCCCAGCGGCCAGATCGGCTTCATGCTGTGCAGCAAGAACCCAGTGAGCTTCCGGCTGTCCGGGGGGCGGGGGGCAGGGCAGGGACAGGTGGGCACGGAAAGCAATCCCCTGATGCCCCCTCACCCCCACCCCAGAGCACCAACTTCCAGGAGCCGGTGCGGCCGCTGACGCAGAAGCAGGTGGAACAGATGCAGCTGAGATACTACAACTCCGACGTGCACCGGGCGGCCTTCGTCCTGCCAGAGTTTGCCCGCAAGGTGAGCCCCTGGTGGGGTGGGCCTGGTGGGGGGACCCAGGGCTTCCTGGGGTGCCCGCTTCAGCCCCCAGGCGACCCAGCACCCTCCTGACCAGGCCTCATGTCCCACCAGGCCCTGAATGATGTGAGCTGAGTCCAGATGCTGCTGCCGACTCGGGCCAGGTTGCCCTGGACAGGCCCCCTGCCGGCACCCCAACAACCAAGTGTTACAGGCCCCGGGATGCTGCCCGCCTGCCCCGCTGGCGGACTGTCTGTCCCTGTGGTGTTCAGCCTCCAAGCCTATACCAGCTGTGTACAGCCCCCTCTCCGCCCTCTGTCACCCTCACTCACCAAACACATGTATTTATAGCAAACTTCTGAATCGTGTGTTCCCAGACCTTGAATGGGCCCAGGCGGGGGCTGCAGCCGCCATGGTTGGGGGTTTCCGTGTACCGGGCTCTGAGCTGCACCCGTTGTCTGGCCTCTCAGTGTCTGTCACGTGTCTGTGATAGGCAGGCCTTGCCCTCCCGTGCAACCTCGGACCAGCCGCCCCTTGTCCACTGGCACCGAGGGGCACAGCAGGCATCAAACTGCCTCCAGTCTCCCTGGGGAGCTGCCCACATTCCCCCACCCGCCCCACAGGCCCCCCAGCGGGTGGTGACCGACCCCCAGGGCCAGGGCTGTGGGGTGACAAGATCGAGGCGGGTTGCTCCGGGCTGTGCGTGCTCCTGGGGCTGCCCTGCCGTGATTTTGGCGGACCCGGAGGATTGGTAGGTCCCAGCGTGGGGTGGGTGCTGGAGGTGACTCCAGAGGGTTTGGGTGCTGTTACTTGGGCCTGTTGGGAGCACATCGCTGCCCTGACTTGGCTCAGGATTCAGACGTGGGTTCCAACCCTGCCTGCCCCGCCCCTGGGTGCCCTCTGGGAAATTCCTAGAAGCTCCCCCAAGTGTTGAGAGGTTGAGAAAGCAGGTGTGAGTGGCCGCTGGGGCCCGTGCCCTCTCCATGGTGCTGAACGCCCGCCCAGCCTGTTCCCCAGGCGCCTCACCCCTCCTGCAGGCCCCGACTGAGACTGGTGTTGGGAGAGGAGCCACCACAACAGGGTGCGGATGGGGGGAGAGGGCCTGCGCCCACTCCTGTCTCAGTCACCAGTCCAGAGGCACTGCCAGAGGATGGACTATCCCGGGAGGCTTGGGAGCAGGGCGTGGGCCCCGCCTGGGGGTGTTGCTAGAACTCTCCCCAGCCGCACCCCCACCCGGCAGCTACCTTGGCCCCAAGCAGCAGGTTCTGGGACTGGAGTTCTCATAGGGGTGGGGGGAGGGGAGCAAGCATCCCGATTCGCAGCCAACTCCTGAGCAGCCCCAGGCCAGTCACTCATCCTCTGGGCTCCACACCTGAGGCCCCAGTTCCCATGGACCTCACCCCCATGGACCTCACCCCCAGGGACTCACTGGGCTCAGCACCGGATGTGTGACCTTGGTCAGCAAGTCTGACCCCAAGCTGTTCAAATTCCAGGACAGTCTCACCCCCTCGAAAGCCAACAGCATGTGTGCCCCTCCGGGGAGGCCAGGTGATGGTCGGCTCCTCTGGGCTGCAGTTCGTGCATCAAAGGGACACGCAGTGGCTGGTTAGAGAGCTGACCCCCCGCCCCCCCCAGGTCTTAATTCCTTTAACCTTCGCAGCCGCCTGTGAGGAGCGCACTACGAACCGCACAGGAGGACTAGGTGACCAGCTAGTAAGCGGGCTGGGGAGCACACACCAGCCTGAGGGCAGCCCAGGGAATGAAGGTGGACAGAGGGGGCGGGGCCCGTCTCAGGGCTCCAGCTGGGCCTGTACCTCAACTCCGATGACTTGGGTACCCCACCTGTAAGGGGAGCGGGTCCTCACCTGCTACAGGCTTCGTTAGGAATTCTGCCTCTGTCATTCGGTGCTCGCTGAGCTCGGAGGGGTCGCTGAGCTCGGAGAGGTCGATGGCCTCTCAGGGCGGAGGAGGAAGGGGAGCAGGGCGTGTGGCGGAAGTGGCTGGAGCCATTTGGGAAACTGCCCCACCTGGAAGTGGAGTCTGCGATGCCATCCCTCCACTCCCCCCTCTTATTCAAGTCCCCTGACACCCACGCACCCTTGAAGGGGTTTCCGCGTCTGGGTGGGCAGGACCTCCTGAAGCAGACGGGGGGGGGTTTGGTGAGGACACGACCCGAGTCCCCTAAAGTCCCAGAAGTCATGGAGGGGGCCGACAGGCACAGTTGGTCGCAGGGAGATTAGCATGAATCCCATCTCAAGTTTTGAAGCTTAATTCTTTCTCAAAATCAGCCAGGCCCCTGGTCTGAGGACTCGGTGAGCTCCGCGTGGATCGTTAGAAGAAAGTGGCAGCCTGTGCCCACTCTCCCTGGGGGCAGCTGCTGATCTCGGTACTTATGCTGGGTCTACTTAACACGCTTGTATTGCTGTCCAACCCGAGTTTCCTCAGGGACGATGAGGACTTACCATTTTCCTCCCCTGCTCCCCCCTCAACACACACTCGCCACAATGACATGAGGACCTGGGTTAGCTCAGTGTCGGTGTGACTGTCGCAGCCACAGGAAGGCCATTGGCAGCTGAGGCGAGGAGTCAGAACCACTTTCTCTTCCCCACGGCTTCCTTGTTTTTCCTCTGGAGGTTTTTTGGGGACTTTTTCGTATGCTTAGTTTGCAATAAATTTATCATTTGTTTAACCTCAAACTTTTTTTTTTAACCAATTCTCTAAAGCTCTTAACATGTGAACACAACACACTTCATGAGGATTTGAACAATATGCTACACAATTTTTGAATAGGCGATCTTAGTATTTTACCTAGCCCCGTTATAATTTATAATGAATTCGTGATTATATTTAATGGGATATTCAGTAACTGGAAATACTAATAAACACAATGTGCATTGCTTTATTAAAATGATTTGTACGAGAATGTATATATCGCTTTCATTCAGGGAAAAAAGCGATTACTAAATTGTTTTGAAAGATCTTTGGACTCAGCAGGTGTCTGTCATTTTCCTCGTCCTGAAGGATCTGTCTGGAGCGTTCCGACTGCCCCTAATGGAATTCCCCATTGGAACTCTTGTGTCTGGGACCCCGTGACTTCCTTTCTTGGTTTACTCCCTTGTTTTGATGGGGCATATCCTAGAGTGGCTTTCTGAGAAGGGACAATTGGATGCAAAATTTTAAAAATCTGACATGCATGGAAAGGTCTATTCCACCTTCATGTGTGATGGATGAGAATAGACATCTTAGAAATAATCTTCCTTCAGCATTTTGAGATGTGCTCTTTTCCATTTTTATTTTTTAAAATACTTTTATTTTTTTAATCCTCACCCAGGGATATTTTTCCATTGATTTTTAGAGAGAGGGGAAGAGAGAGGGGAAGACAGAGAGAAACACTGATGTGAGAGCATTGATGCTGTTGCCTCCTGCACGAGCCCTGACCAGGATCCCAGTGGGGAGGAGCCTGCAGCCAAGGTACGTGCCCTTGACCGGAATCAAACCCGGGACCCTTCTGTCTACAGGCCCATGCTCTATTCATTGAGCCAAACCAGCTAGGGCCCATTTTTATTTTTTAAAAAACATTTTTTTATTGCCCAGTAGGCATGGCTCAGTGGTTGAACATTGACCTATGAAGCAGGAGGTCATGGTTTGATTCCCAGTCAGGGCACATGCCCAGGTTGCAGGCTCAATCCCCAGTGTGGGCATGCAGGAGGCAGCTGATCAATGATTCTCTCGAATCGTTATCTCTCTCTCCCCCCTTCACCTCTGAAATTAATACAAGAAATATATTTAAATATTCATATATATTTAAATATTTTATTGATTTCAGAGAGGAAAGGGGGGCCTCTTTTCCATTTAGATTAGTTATCTATTGCTGTCTTTAAAATGAGCCCAGGGCCCAGTGTGGGCTCTCGGGAGCAGGACACGGCGTCTTTCCTCCCTCCCAGGCCTGCACCTTTACTTTTCTCTCCTAAACTCTCAGGGTCTCCATGAAACCAGCAACCAGGGAAGCGAGGGGCGGCGGCAGCTCGTCCCAGGCTCACCCTGCGCCGTCTCCAAGGCCCCTTTCTCTGACTCTGCAGCGAGCTGACAGCAGCCTCACCTTGGCTCACTTCTTTCCTGTAGCGTTTCTAGGGAGGGAGGCAGAGCCCCACCCGAGCTCCCTCCTGTTGCTTCTTCTGTCCGAAGCCCTTCCTTTGTTTCACTGTCCCAGCTTTAATAAATGTTCTCTCAAAATTAAAATCTACATATAAAAGCCAAGCGACTGGGATTCCGGAACGACCAGAATAACCGGAATGACTGGAACGACCAGTCACTATGACGCACACTGCGGCCGGCCAACCAGCCAATCGGGGGGCGGCTCCTCCCCCTGGCCGGCCCTGGCTGGATTGTGTGCGGGGCGGCCGGCCAACCTCCCACATCCCCTCCTGCCCCTGCTGGCCCGGCCTGATTGGCCACCATCAGGGCGGGCCAGCCGGACCCCACCCGTGCACGGCACGAATTCATGCACCAGGCCTCTAGTAAATAGTATCCTGTTCTTTCCTCTCTTTTTTCTCTGAAGGTAGCAATGATTGTTTTGCTTGGGTTTGGGGCATTTTCTTTCTTTTTTAAAATATATATATACTAGAGGCCCCATGCATGACATTTGTGCACTTGGGGGTGGAGGGTTCCTCAGCCCAGCCTGCACCCTTTCGCAGTCTGGGAGCCCCAGGGGATGTCTGACTGATGGACAGTTGGACATCCTTAGCGTTGCTGTGGAGGTGGGCGCTCACCAGCCATCAGCCCGAGCCATCAGCCAGGCTTGTGGCTGAGCGGCACTCCCCCTGTGGGAGTGCACTGACCACCAGGGGGCAGCTCCTGCGTTGAGCTTTTGCCCCCTGGTGGTCAGTGCCCATCATAGTGACTGGTCGTTCTGCCATTTGGTTGATTTGCATATTACCCTTTGATTATATAGAATTTTTAAAAATATATTTTTATTGATTTCAGAGAGGAAGGGAGAGGGAGAGAGAAACATCAATGAGAGAGAATCATTAATTAGTTGCCTCCTGCACACACCCCCATGCCCCCTACTGGGGATCAAGCCTGCACCCCGGGCATATGCCCTTGACTGGAATTGAACCTGGGACCCTTCAGTCCACAGGCCGACGCTCTATCGGTTGAGCCAAACAGGCTAGGGCTTAAATATATTTTTATTGATTTCAGAAAACAAGGGAGAGAGAAAGAGAGGGATAGAAACATTAATGATGAGAGAGAATCATTGATCAGCTGCCTCCTGCACGCCCCACACTGGGGAGGGAGCCTGCACAACCCGGGCATGTGCCCTGACCGGGAATCAAACTGTGACCTCCTGGTTCATAGGTCGACGCTCAACCCCTGAGCCACGCCGGCCGGGCAGGGGGCATTTTCTCCTTCCTGCTGGGTTTCTGTATTCTTCAGTTGATTGGTTGATTTTTCTTTTTAATCTTTCTCACATTTGAGGTTTTCCTCGGTGACCCTGGAAGGCTCTGCTCTCACCCCCTGAATGGGGCTTGTCAATCGACCTTCACTGTGGATGATGGAGGCTGAGCCATGTGCCCGTGGAGCCTTCAGAGTCGGTATCTAGTCCTCCCCCCTGGGCTGGTCGCACTCCCCGGAGACGAGGGAGGAGCCGGGCAGCTGCCGGATTCCAGGAGCTGCGTTCGGAGGGGCTGGGGCTCTCGGTGCCAAGTCTGTTTGCTTAATGCCCTTGTTCTCTGTCTCCCGCTCCCTTCAGCTGGGCCTGGGACCCTCCACTGCACCCCTTTTAAGAACCAGTTTCCAGCCCTGGCCAGTGGCTCAGTGGTTAGGGTGTCAGCCAGCAAACCTCAGGCTCACAGGTTCGATTCTCGGTCAAGGGCATGCACCTGCGTTGCAGGTTCCATCCCATCCTCGGCCAGGGCCTGTGTGAGAGGCAGCCAATCAGTGAATCTCTCTCACATGCTGTTTCTCTCTCTCCTCCCCCTCCCTCCCTCTCTTCCTTCCACTCTACAAATCAATGGAAACATCCTCTGGTGGGATTTTTAAAAAAATATATTTTATTAATTTTTTACAGAGAGGAAGGTAGAGGGATAGAGAGTTAGAAACATCGACCAGCTGCCTCCTGCACACCTCCCACTGGGGATGTGCCCACAACCAAGGTACATGCCCTTGACCGGAATCGAACCTGGGACCCTTCAGTCCCCAGACCGATGCTCTATCCACTGAGCCAAACCAGTCAGAGCTGGTGGGATTTTTTTTTAAAAAGAATCAGCTTCCAGGAACCTCTCGTGAGTCTGGGGTCGCTGGCTGCTCACATGGGTCCCCATTCACATGCATCTGTTAGCTCTGGTTCCTCTCTCTTGCTAGAAAGAGGGAATCAGTGTCCGAGTTCCCACGGGGCCGGGGGGTGAGAAAGAGGAATCGGACTTGGTGCTCCGAGCTGACGCCTGGGCCCGCTGCCAGCGCGGAGTTGCCTTCGGGAGAAGTGTTCTCACCTGTCCACCTGCATTTCCAGCCTCCGGGGCGTGGATGCCGCCCGCTCCGCCACGCTCCCCGCCCTCCTGCATCAGGCGTTTTATTTTATTTTCTGTGTTTATTATTTTCAGGTGTTTCACAGCAGGACGGGCGGGGGGGAGAGAAGCAGGGGGTGGGTGCGTTCCTCCTTTCCTACCTGTGGCGTCATGGAGACCTGGGCAACCACACTCACCCTGAGGAGGAAACGCGGAGGTGGAGGGCGAGGGGCAGAGCAGGGTCTGTCCCCAGCCCTGGTGTCCCCCCAGGTCAGCCCCGGCTCCTGGACTGTCCTGTCCTCCCGCCTCGCGATCTGGGCCGGCAGGAGTCACCGGGTCGATTCCCAGAATTCCAGGGGCAGGACGCTGAGGGCAGGACCGGCTGTTGGACAAACAGATCAAAGGTGAGACTGAGAATCCAGACCCGGCCTGGCCAGCTGGACGGTCGCACCATGAGGTGGGTGGGAGCCCCCGGCAGCCTCCCTGGCAGGGGTGAGGGGTGGCAGCAGGTCCCCAGACCCTCCCCCCCCTCCTGCCCCCCCCCCCAGGCTGCTGATCCTCCTGGGCCTGCTCTGGGGCT